CTCAAGGCGCGGTACTTCATGTTGCCTCCGCGGCATCGCACGCTGCGGACGCGCTTGGCGCCCAATCGGCACGGCACTGCCGGTCGGCCCATCTCATACTTGCGCTTCTTGATGGAGGTCTTGCTGCGGCCACCGGTCTTGTAGTGCTTATGCCGGGAATCACGGCCGATTCCCATGGCTGCGAGAGACTTCTAGCTTCGCGAAGAGGTCTGTATCTAACCCTGCGAGCCAAAGCAAAGAAATAGCTTGTTTTGTCCAACTTTGCTTGTGCTGCCATGAAGTGGAGTAAACACATGCCTGCCACTGTCAAGATGCCCCACAACAAACCAGCCCCTGACATCTGGAAACGTGGGTATTGCCAATTTTGCCTGATGAATTGCTTCGTGCCCTGTTCGGGGGATTGGATGTGGGCTGGCTAGGTTTCTTTGCAGTTTGCTGGGCATGCAGCTGCAGCAGCATAAAGGGCAACCAAGGCAAATGTAAAAAAGCAATCTGGGCGGGCCTCCATGGGGAACTGCGATGATAGTTCTAACCAACCTTCCGGGCTGCCTGCGTCCAGCATGCAGTCAATGTCAGTGGCACAAGCTGCAAAGGCATAGGCAATCAGCCACTTTTGACCACCGTTCTCCATTGTCAATGCCACGAAACGTATGCACATAATCAGAACTTGAGCTCGTGGGGATACTGGTTGGCCGAGAGGGAGAACCGGGACTTCAGGTAGCTCTTCAGGTCATCGCCGAGGCCCTTGATGATGGACTCGTCCAGCTTCTTCTGACCATCCTTCTTCTCCTGCGGCAAAACCTTCTTGGGCGGCTCCGTAGCAAAGAAGTGCTCTTGGGTTTTGGGACCCTTCTTGGAAGTCTTCTCACGGGCAAAGTAGGCATCAGTGACGGACTTGAAGTCTGCGCCACCCAGCTCCACCTTAGTGCTGGTGCCGATGCAGTATCGCTGGTTCACGCGCTTCAAAGGCACACCGTTGAGAGCATAGGGGCCGGTGACGAGCAGCAGGCCACTCTCCAGCATCTTCAAGAATACCACTCGACGGCCACGGAACTTGCCAGCTAGCAGGATCAGAATGGAGCCCGGCTGGATCTGCTTCTTCAGCTTTGCGGCTGGCTTCTCCACAGTCTTCTTCACCCCCTTGACCCTGTTGCTGCGGCCGGAGAGCTTCTTCTGCCTGGTGCGCTGCTGGCCTGCCTGTCCCATGGCTGCGTCTTTCTATCTTGCTTGGCAACGGACGAACTTCCTATGAGCCACATACCACGTCAGATTGGACGAGAAGCCCATCAATCCCTCAACATTCCATCTGACCTTGCCCTAGCTCTGATTTTCTTTGTGAACCTGTTGCAAACAAGAACACCCGAGAAGCATTGAATTAGTGTCTCGGCTCTTCACTTGAAAGGGATGGGTGAAGCAACTGCAAACTATCCTAAGTTCAAGCAAATCAGGAAACAAGGCTCGCTTCCCCACATCCCACTAGTGATGCATTGCGACGCCCTGAAGTTCCAAGAACCGCCGAAAATTCTAGCATGGCGAGGTTGCTTGGGGTTGCTGAAAAGGCCGCAGTGACACATTGTGTCACACATGCTAAGCACACGTGCTCAACGTCGAACAGACATGGGACTTAAATACTCGACTAACATAAGTAAGAGTTATGATTCTGAGCTCAACAGCAGATAGCCTCGACATTCACGTGCTTTTGCCAGCTCAATGTAGTGTGGCAGCAACGGCAGCTATCATGCACTGTTTGCCCAGGGACCGATGCCGCGAGCACTTCGCGAGCTCGCCTGGGCTGGTTCTATCTGCTCAGCTGCTTGGGAAACGTACCGGGCAACTTCCGCTTGAAAAGCTCGGCCTTCGGATCGACGCTCTACCCTGCTTTTTGAGGAAGACATATTGAAAGACTTTTGAAACAAATCCATGCCATCTTGTTTCGACCTGCCCCGCGCCCCCTGATTAACATTGGTGCTGAGTTTGGCCAGGTTGGGTTGGGTCATGCAAGATTAGGTCATTGATAACCTGTGAGCGGCTTTGCCCGTCACAGCTCAATGTTAAGTAGGGGGCACGGGATGGCAAACGTGTAGTGTTATAGACTCATACAATACTTCTTCCATCAACAGTATTGCTGATTGCCCCCTCAAAAAAGCGACACATGACATGGCGATGGATTCCAATCAGCTGCCATCGATGTGTGTGTGTGCTGGAAGGTGTTGTTTCTTGGGCATGACATGCGAAGTGACCTGACATGGAGAGCTCTATGAGGCGTCGGAACCGCCCTGGCCAGCTTCCAGCCTGTCACTGGCTATGATATACCCTCAGGCCAAGCGCCTAAGCTCCTGGCTGAGGACTCAAAGTGTGGCTTCCACAGCCACCACTGTGGCGATCGCAGTCAAGCAGTGCCCTTTGACTCCCAAAGCTCTATATGCTCTATAAGCTCTATAATCAATTAATACAATTAATACGTCACCCCCACGTGGATGCCACCTTTGAAGATATGTCTTGACGCACGACCGTGATGCTGGGCTAAGCATTCATGCCCCATGGGCATTTTCAGTCGATTTCATGCTACGTGTCCATTCGCAACAAGCTCTTCCGCTGTGCCTCAAGTCCTCTTCACCCGAAGGCCCTGGCAAGGCGTTGCAGTGTTTCTCATTCTACACAACGTGAGTTTGACTTCTAGGCAAACAAGTGCTGCATGCAAAACGAATCGGTACCAGCAACACGATACAGTACACTGAAACATCTGCCAAAGGCCTGCTGGTATTGACCCGAAAAGCAACCATAAACAACCATTACAAACCCGTAGGAATCTTGTACAATTCAATCACTAGATTGGCAGTCGTATCGGCCACGGCCTTTTGTGCCAAGCTCGCCGTCGTGCGCTTCGTCTGCAGGTAGGACCCTGGCCTTGACAAAACATGGGCAAAGGTTGAATCTTGCATAAATTATAGCATGTGGATCTTCGCACGTGTCAGGTATCAGCGGCACCCAAAAGCGCCAGGGAAAAGCACACCTCTGTCAACGGAGTGCTGGAAAGTCAACCTTGTCTGCTTGTGTTTGCACGTTGACAATCAAGCACTTTCCACAGATCAACATGGCTGTCCATGCGCTTCGCCGAAACAAACTGAGTCTAACATCTGAAAGTCATTGACCTGCACACACACACTCGCTCACAGAACTGTTTACAAATGAGCTGCAGTTAAGATTCATTGTGCCCACAATGACAGTGGCTTTGCTGAGCTCCATTTTCTAGATGCTTTTTGATGGGAGCACCCAATGTCACTTGACCACAGCAGGCGGTGAAGATTGACTGTTGCTCCGATCTCTGTCTGACCATAGGTGTCCTTTTGGAAAAGCCATCAGCTCCTCAAAATGATTAGAGACAAAACATTGTTTGCCGATTCCACCCAGTTTCCACCCAAAAGACCTAAACAGGACGCCTATGTCTCCGACACCTTCCTTTCACCGCAAGTTCACTGGGAGCGCAGCAGGTCGACCGGCGTTGCTTTTGCCTGAGAGCCTGAGCCGCCTTGTGGCCTCAAATCGGGCGCAAGCATGAAACCTGCAAGTGGGTGACCGCTGCAGGAAGCTGGTCCAATCCAGGGGGTCCCTTCAGGTCCCATGTTTGTTCTTGGAGGAAACTGGGCCGAAGTTCAGTTGGAACCGGGAGTACTGCTTTTGGTTGTACACAAAGCACAACCAACAATCAACTTGTGCCAAAATGAAACGCAGGAAGGGTTCAGGAGGAGCAAATGCGAGCACACAATGCTGCTTACAAGTCCCTTCCTTTGACCTGCTACTAAGAGCCGAGCGTGCCAACAAGGCATGTTACCTGTCAATGGAAGCGTCAAGCATGGGAGATCTCGCATTTCTTCGTGAGAGCAGGCAAAAAATGAAACGACTGTGCATGCCCTGCTTCAACAAAAGAGCAACTCCTGCTAAATGCCTTCTGCACGCAAAACACTTGATACAAATAACATGCACAAGACATGCATTGGACAGGATCAGATGTTCTCCAAACAGCTCCTGCCCAACCAATTTCACCCTCAATTTGCCCTTCAAATGACAGTGGCAAGCTGCAATCCTTCTGGGTAGTCTCTCTGTTGATGATGTGAAATCCTGGAATCTGGGGCATCCCACAATCAAACGAGAGGCCTTCGCAGCTGGACAAATGATATTTGAGTCTTTTGCCATGGCGAAACATCGCAACAGCTCTGAATGCCTGTGGCACTGCATAGAGCAAGTTGCCCTGATAGGCGCAGTCGCCTCAGTTAGTTTCTCTGTGGCGTTGGGGCCACTTAGATCTTACTTTTAGCGCAGTGAGGCTCGACTTCACTTGAGAGACAAAACAAAATGAGGGGTTGACGTCTGCGGCAACCTTCCAGGATTCAGCAAGCTATGGCTTTGGTTTTAAGCAAGAACAAACAACACAAGGGGCCTGAGGCCCTGGTGACCTTTCAGTTGCATTCACTGGCCTGAGTTTGGAAAAACCACACATGGAAAGGCTCCGGGAAGCCGCGCTGTTCTGCACATCTTTGGAGATCTTTGCCTCCACCACCAGTGAGCGATCGCTACCCAGAAGGTTCTGCACATGCAGCTCGCTCACCTAGGAGACTTTCCAGCGCTAGAGTTCATGGGAAAAAGTGCGCCTTTGCTTGGTAGTTCAGTTCCAGGGAAGCACCCCCTCCAAAAATGGGAGACGAAGCACCACTGGAGTGGCCCTTTGCAGTTGGGCCTCACACATCCTGGCGATGAAAGAGACAAACTATGCAATCAACAAGGGGACTGTCAAGAAGCACCCTGACGTCATCCAGCATTGGCATTGCTTGTTGCCCCAAACGTGGAATACGGGGCAAGCGATGAGTTCTGTACCACGTACGTATCTCCTTCGTACTGTTTCAGCCTTGTTGTTTTGGGGCTTGGCTGCAACGACCACGTGAACGTGCTGTCCCCATGCAACTCGCTCCCTGAGCTGTAAAATTCCATTGCCGTGCGTTTGCCAATTGTAGCCGAAACGGACCAACAGTCGGATCTTCCACTGCATCAACATACTCGACTCACCTTGGTGCTTAGTCCCATGCGCAGCTGTAGAGCGATGACAGTTCATTCGCCTGGCAAATCTGACCAGTTCCTCCTTTTTGAAAGCCCCAAACTGTCGGCGTGTCCACTGCTCGCGGTTCCGTTTTTTGTGTTCTACAAAGCGCTTTCAAACCGCACTCATAATTTATCTGCGGGAACGGACCCTCGCCGATCAACCTGAGCCCGGCGCACCTTACTACAATCTGCCGGCGGCTTGCAGTTCAGACTCACTGTGACGTTGTTCACCGTGATGAACTCCTGAGTTGCCAGGCAGTCACGGGAACCCAGGATTGAGTTGCCCTGGTTGACCAAGGTTGATTGATCAGGGGTCAACATACCTTCACAGAAATCCACAGACTAGCTTATCAGTTTTGCTGCTCTGAATTGCTGCGATGCAGTACTGGACCATGAAAGTTGAGTAGTCCAAAAAGGCGGGTCCAATTCTTAACAGGAGACTCCCTCCAATGCGGGAGTAATCAGAGATTGTTCAAACGGCCATCTGAATTCGGTCGAGGCTCGATAGTGCCGGAGCTGAAGTCCGTAGGTTTGACCTCACTCGAATCAATTTGGTTTGGGCTTGGGGCAACTTAAGCTAGTCACAGCTAGTCAGCTTTTGCAGTGATTAGGGCTTTAAGGTACCCTTCGGCCCTTTGGTGAACATCACGGTGGGGGGATGCAGGTCCAATCACTTTGGATATGGTTCATAGACATTCATAGGGAATGAGTTGGAACCCTGAACTGAACCGTGCTTTGGCTTCCAGGGGGATCCCATGTTCATTCCCAAAACCCCTCAAACCATCCCCGGAGAACAGCTCCGAAGACCCAATCGCGGGGTAGGACATTGGTCGGGCAACCTTCACGTTTGATTCAAGGTGTTGGCTATTCCAACGCCACGCTGTTTACAGCCCTAGCAGCATCACAGAATAAACTTGAAATTGGCACGCAGGCTGTTTAAAAGGGAAGAAACTGGCCTCGGGTTTCTTGAGCTGCAAGTCTACAACCCGCTTCTTGGAAGAAACCACACCGTTGAACCGCAGCACCGCCTGCACGCTGAGAATGCAGTTCTGCAGGTCAGAGTCCTGCCCCGTGAAAGCCAGGGGTGGCTTTAAAGCTCTAAACAACCAGACCCAAAGGGAACCCAACCCAAACGAGGTGGTTTTAGCAATAGTGGTTTAAACTAATGCTGCAGCAAGGGCCTGGCCCAAATGCACATAACCAACCTGTAAGCCCTACATAAGGAATACTTCTTGGGATATGTACTCTGGATGGCCCTGTGCCACTCCTCCATAACCACTGCTTTTGGGTATGTCCATTTTAGCGGGTATGTAAGCAGGATAGTAGAAACTTGGGAATAGCACCCGCGCTAGGAGGCAGGCTGCAAACATCTTCCAACGCCAGCTGAAGTCAAACCAAATGCATCCACAAGTCAGCAAGCATCACGGCTTTCTTGACGACAGCTGCAGGCTGCAGCCGGCACATAGACATGCCACTTTGGCAAGAAATATACAACCAACACAATAGAACTTCGGTCATTGCACAAGGATGAACACATGCAACAGCACGACAGCACACAGCGCATCAAACGCAAACAGCGTTTCGGTAGATTGATGGATTTGTAGATCCGGTCAAGCTAGTCAAGGCAGCGAATCCGTCGCAAACATTATGGCCGTTGAAGGCAGTTCTTGATAAAGCTTACAAACACAGTTGTATATGCGAGAATGACTGGACACATTCAGAAACAGTAGGAGAGCTGTTTTTGTCAGCGCCGGTACTAGAAAAGCCAATGCAGCTAGCTAGAGCCGGCATAGCTGAGGCAGGAGAGGCAGTATGTAGCGGCAGTATAGAGGCATGAGTAGAACTCAAGCCAGCTGAAACTCGTCAGCAAGCGTCTGCCACATGCACTCCGTCGTGGCACTGGGTCCAATGAAGTGACATCATCAAAATTAAAGCAATTCTGAGAACGCCTCAGATGTCACTTTTTTTGTTGGTCCCTGTCAGCCCCTCCTGGTTCAATGTCAGTTGTGCCGAGGCGTTGCAGCCAGCTGCTTTGCAGGACAGGGAGGCATTCCTCGCCTGTCCGATGCGATTGTCGCGGGCATGGTGGGAGTGGGAGTGGCCTAGTTGCATTCAGGGCCTGGACAAAATGTCAAGGGTCCCAGCGTGGCTACAGTGCTGCAGAGCGCAGAATACAGCACAGCACGAGCAGCACGGGGAGAAAAGCAGCATCACGACCCGATTTTGAACAAAGTGACGTCCAGAATTCAAAAAGGACGAGGCCTGGTTGAACACAGGATCCCAGAATTCCAAAAGCATGTTCGAAGATGCTGGGCCTGCATCCATCTCTCTGTATACCTGAACTTGAAATACATACCTAGCATCGCTGCGAACGTCTAAGTCAATGAGACAAGACTCTTGGCCATCTTGGTATAGCGAAATCAACGCAACCCATGGCAACCATCCCTCAGTTTAAACAAGGGGTCCTGGACAAGTATCCGTCCACTGTTGGTTTCCCCTGGGGAAAAGAATAAGCCATGGGCTATTTAGCACCACATCCATGGAAGACCGAGTTGCGCCTCTTGCTTGTAGCCCTGCGAGACCAACGCGGCTGGGTTGCCCGGGTAAGGAGCCTGACAGCATGGCAAATCAGTTTGTGGCATTGATGTACAGAAGTACCAACCACCAAACCTTTGTGATTCACACACAAACCTGGCTTGTTCAACCCACTACCAGGACCTGGCATATCCTGGCATAAGGATGATGGATTATTCTGACCAATCCAGCAAACAAGCCCGTCTAATTTCATGTTGAATCGTTCGAGTGTTGCACTGCTAGGAGGGACTTTGGCCAGAACATAGAGATATTATGCTGCTGGATGCTATAGAATGATTCGATCATCAACTTGATCAGCATGTCATCGGTCGAACCTCCTCTTCATCCATGGCATTTGATAAACTATTCGGACTTGAAAGCTAAGTGTCCAGTCGCCTCTTGGAGAGCACGTGTTCAAAACTGTGAGTGTCGAACTCGGAGCAATAAGCAAACGATTCGCCTGATCGACTTGAAAAACGAAGTTCGAAAGCCGCCTTCGAAACATTGGACCCGTGCCAGGCCTTGGGCCTCCCGTACGCATCGAACTGGGCTGTCGAAGCATCGAACCTGAATGCGCGGGACAACCATGGAAATGGGTGTCTTTTTTTTCGGCCCCTTGAAATGGGTGGGTCCTGATTTTGGTTTCCCCGTAACTCCAGAAAAGGGTGTTCCGGTATTCCGGTATAAAACACACCCATGGAATCCAGCATGGCACCTGGCCACCTACTCCAGCACTATGACTTCCTTGTGCAAAGCAACTTTGAACTCATCATCCAAAGCTGGAAACACTGCAGCTTCAATTAGATATCGCTGAAAGTGGCCGCCAGAAACCAATACGTCAGTCACGGACATTTCCCAACATGACAAGGATAAATTTTAGTGGGCCTCTGGTGGGAATTTCGGGTGGGCCCCACTATCCTTTCCAGACTAACAACAAAGTAGCTTTTTTTGTCAGATGCTCACATACACGGCGTGCAAGTAGCAAGGGCAAACGCATCTTGCCGGGCTTCCATGCCAGTCCGCTTGCTTCTTTGCAGAGCCCTTCAGGAGGTGGAACACGTCTCCGCCCTGTCAGTTGAATGCGCTTTGCCCGAAGTGGATTCCCGGGCAAGCCACGTACGTACTAGGCAATGGAACGAGGACGCCCTAAATTCAACACACATACACATGCAGGAACAAACATGCACAAATAACTTGCAAGCACTTTTGGTCATTCCAAGCTGGGGCAAAAAGATCACCCTTCCAGGCATGCTGGCAAAGAAGTGGCAGTCAATGCGCAGCAAACACAACTACAGTACAGCAGTGAATACGGGGAAAAACGCTTTGCTTCGGGAACGAAAACATAGGTTCTTGGCCCAATGGCATCTGACAATATTAGCCAACAAAATCAATATGATGAAGGCTTCCTCTCAATGACTTGAGCCATTGAAGTCCTGATCATGTACAAGTGTCTTATTGCTTAAACCTGACTGCACATAGCCCTTCCGAACTGAACCACGATGTACTATGCCAAAATGACCGGGCCAATATGTACCCAAGCAATACTGTACTCCTTTAACACCATGAAAGCACGGCTTCGTCCAAACAAATCGCACGTCTTCGCTGTGGACAAAGTGATGAGAGCCGTACTCGACACAGCCAAGACGGTCATCTTCTGATTTGCATTGTATAGAAACTGCTGGGTTCCATTCAGAGTTGTAAGGACAATGCCTCATCAAGTGGCCTGCAACAATGTGGGTCCGGGAATGCTAAAAGCTCCCACACACGAATTTGGGGAACACACTGAAATGAGGCATTCTAAATCTGGGTATTATTGAATAGTTTTGGTTCAGCATTGATCTGAACTTGCTTAGTATTTCTTAGCACTGGTAAATATTGATTAAGTCGTTACCTTGTTGTGTTTTGACATTGATTAGTACTGGTCGACAACAAGTTGGCTTGAACTATCTTAGCATTGTCAAATTGTGCAACATCGGTTCAGCAAAGGTCTAGATTTATCAGCATTGCTTGTTCGGGCTGGTTCTTATGTCCATCTTGGTGTTTGTGCTGATTTAGATTTCCAGAGTATTTCTTAGTATTGGCTGTATATGGGTGTTGGTGAAACGTGTTAGTCTAGTATTTGGTCTCACTGAGGCACAGCGAGAGGAGGGCTGTGCCAAATCGCACGGGCGCTTACTTTACTAGGTTGTGCAACCCGGGAGGATCCTTGATCCAGTTGCACTCGTAGTGGGACACCACCGCAACAAGGGAAACCACTGCGATTCTGGCATAGGGATTGGTGTTAAGCAATCCAGCTTCTATGCCATCTTTTGCAAAAGCAGTAATTCCAAGTCGCACTCATCCCCTTCTAGCTTGCAGGGCTTGCGAGTCTGACTGGGCCAGGGCTCAAATGCCAACTGCGCTGCACCGTTTCTTTTTTCACTCTGGCTGAAGCAGACCACCGCACAAAGCAGAAGTACAAAACGCACACAGGCAAATGCGAATATGCAAGTTTCATTGGTCAGGGGCACCGGGCTCAAGGCCAACGTAGCCATGATAAGCGATTTGTTGGCATCCAACTGCCACGGACAAGTTTAGTTGATTCCAAGAGGATACGGCAACATTGGCTTGTCCCCCTGGTTTGTGTGGGAAATTTGGGCGGTCCCACCATGTCCACACTTGCTCATGTCCTTTCTCAGGCTGGGAGCACAACGGTGGCTCGCTGCATCGCTGCTTGCTCTTCGTACTTCTTGGGGTACTCGTAGGACTGGACAAAGTTTCCTGGCTGCACCGCCCGAATTTCTCCATTCTCAGAGTCTCGGACACAGAAAACAAAGCGTCCCAGAGTTGCGACTCTTGCTAACAATGCTGCACACACCCGAGCCTCCATCGTTGTAATACCAACCGCCCGTCTTTTGGGCATGACCAAACGGTCCCTGGTTCGGCTCTGGCAGCGTCTGCAGAGCCTGGCGAGTTCCACGCCTCCAACAAACATGTGGCTAAAATGTCTCAGCTGCGGTCAGCATCCAAAGTACGCTGCTTAGCCAAGCGGTCGATGCCTCAAACAGTAAGCTAATAAGCTGATGCAACAGCGCACGGCCTGAATCTTGTTTCAGGCCTTCACTTGATGTCTGACAGGCAGGAGTGCCGGGCTGAGAGTGGGGGCCAAGTGGTTGTTGGAATCAGCTGATGAAACATGAAGCATAATCCCTAAGCTGAAAGAACTGATTGCGTAGCAACCATAGCCCAAGAGCAGTTGCTCCTCTTCAACGACTTGCTAAACATCTTTTCTCATACATGGGCTGGCGACGAGTAGAAATTTGTTATGCCATGAAGCCAAGCCAGCAACTCTGGAATGAGTTTACTCAAAAGACGTACATTCGACACGTGTGGCCTACAGGCCTAGTGCATGGACTCAGAACAGAACACGGCAACTCAAAAGAATGTTCCACAGTCACCGGGATTCGGTTACCAAGGCTTCGAGAAGCGTCATTTGCATGAAACAAATGGCCGCTCGCTCCTGTTCAGAGCCGCCCGAAGGAAGGCTCGCAAACCTAGGAACGCACACACGCTGTTAAAAAAATTCAGCAAATTAAATGAGGTCCGAGTAGATTGTATAAAGGTACTGACCCTCAACCTTGTGCATTTCAGCAATGCTCAGCCGGGGAATGATTTGCCCGCAAAGTCCATGCTCAACGAGTCAGCTGACAAGCACATGTTCAAAGTTAAAAGGATCTCGTGCATGCTCAGACTTCATTGCCTCGCACGTACGGTGGAGGCCGAGACACAACTGAGGCCAAAGCCACTTAACGTCTACCTGAGATCCAGGCGCCAGCGACAAACACACTAACACTTTGTGGCTGAATGATTTGGGCTGAGGCCGTGATGATGGTCGGTGTGGAATTTGCAAGGGCAGCCATGCTGGTGAAACTGGACTACTTTGTCCAAGCTGTTACTGTAGCTAAAAAACTGTAGCCACACTCTGACAAGCTTTTTCCCGCATCCTGCCCGCCAATCTCGCGTGTTGTTGCACATTGACATGAACGTGAGCCTCACACACTCAATTACAACGTATTTGTTTGATGGAACCATTCCGATCATGTGGATAAGTAGAGGGGAGACTAAACCAAACCGGGGAAATTGTGCTGTCTACGCTCCAGCTGCAGTCTTCTGAGTTGCCTGCGTGTTTGGGATCAAACGGATCCGTGACATCTGGGTTGTAGCCTGCAGTGAAAAGCAAAGAGTGGGCAATCAGTTGCACCGACCAGTCCATGTCAATGTCAGTCAGCCACAATATTGCTGACATGCCAATACAACTCGCCGAGGCTTGGCTTGAAGGACAGTTTGCAGAGGAGCAAACATCGCCAAGCTGTCTTTTGCTGCGAGTCTTCTTTTAAGCAACTTGTTCTGAGACAAACCAACATGTCGGCCGAACGGAGTGTCATAAACGGTGGCTGGGAGCACCGTCAACATAGTTGTGGAAGGGGTTGTCCTGGTGTCAAGCAAGGCTCCAAGCTTGGATGCGTGATGTTGGAGAAACAGCATCCTGAAACAGGTCATACATCTTGGACCATGCTAAAAATTGATCACTCCTGCCACGGCAAATCAGCAGAAAGAAAATATAAGTAATAGCCATGTAGGCATCTTTGTTTTGTTGAATCATGGATGTTCGGGCAGCAACAACTAATCAACTACTCCGGGCCTTGTTTCGCTTGGCTAAGTAGGCAGTCTGACATACTCTTGTATTGGAATATTTTCGAAGTCTGCACATACCTCATGCTCAGCGTTTCATGTCCTCCGCGCGCTGTACTTGCGCTGAATCATAATCGCTGGTAGACTCGCCGACATGGAACCTTGGAAGACGCGCCCACACACACACACACGGCTGCTTGGCATGAGCACGGAGAAGGTCATCACAGCATGACTATTTGCATGCAGGCTCAATGTCGCAGTAAAGTGCCGTTCGAGAGTCTTCCATCCCTTGACCAACACCTGTTGAGTAACACATGACTTCATGTCATGAAAGGCATTCAGGCACATTGCTTGCCAAGCTGTGTCGAGACAAACTCTGCGGCAAAACTTGTGCTTGTGGTTTGATCACGGCTTGAACACTTTTTCTAACCACTTTGGCCGTACGCGCCAAGCAAGCCACATATTCTACGTGTACATCAGGCCGCAAGCCTGAGGACTCAAGCCTGACTCAAAGTACGCTAAGTCGAATCACCAAAGTACGCTAAGTACTGCTCCGAAGGGGACTTCAGCTTCAAACCGCCCAATCGCAGAAGAGGCAACTCCTTGTGTCTCGTGACTTTGGGCAAAAGTCATAGCATGCAGCAGTACGCATGGTGCGCCTTCTCACATTAGCAGAAGGAATCACTTAGCGATTTCCCCCAAATGTTAGGGCTTGGGCATTTGGGACTTCTTATTGAGTTGTTAATGCTCTTTCAATAAGTACATGGCTTTGCCTTCGTCTTACCAATGCTTTCGTTCATCTTCCATCCGATCCCTTGCCACAAGCCCATTAGTTTTCTCTCTTCTCACACGCTCACTCGTCTGGACACCTGGGACATGGCAATGCAACAAACCATTAAAAAAATATATATAAAAATATATCAATCGTCCGATGGAGCGACAGCATACAAACGGCGCCCAATCCATCTGGTTGTTTTGTAGATTTCAACAAGCTTCAACAAAACCCTTCGTTTCTCTCTGAATGTTTGTCGTGCAGAGGTCGCTCCTTCCTAGCCTGATGAGTTCTCTCTCCGCGGCTTCCACACTGGTCTCGCTTTCTTGTGGCTACCTGGACATGCCCTGCACACACACTTGCGCTCCTCCACCTTGCCGCACACAAGTCGGAACAACACTAGCAGGACGTACCAAAACAAGCTTGCTCAAACTTACAGGATGAACATGCCGACTTTGTTCATCCTGCAGCACTCTACACTAACGAAGGTCAGAACAGCCAGTCTGTCAAATACCACATCCACAACGCCGCTATGAATGCTCAGTTGCCAAGGAGTTTCCATTTCAGCATGTTTGAGAAGCAACCTCAACCGCTTAGCACTTAGCCTTGAAGGTACCAGCTAAATTGCTAAATGAGGATGTTTGTCGGTGCAGTGATGGGGCACTTATTCTGAGTCCTGGGCAACACTGAAAGAGCAACGTGCGCTGCAATGGAAAGTTATCAGTCGTTTCAACTGCAGGCGATTCTAAAGAAGGAGGTGCAAGCAAGATGGCTTGCGTTGAGTAGCACGAAGTAGCCATGCAAGACTGCCAAAAGGGCAAGATCATAGCATGATGTTAACTTCGGATTAAGCCCGGCACATCATACTAATCAGGGATGGCTTCCCTTTCGGTGGGAAAACAACTCCTTTTAGGAGGATTCTTCGGATTCATATGCCCCTTCTGATTAATCCAAGGTTAACATCATCGCGAAACAGGATCAACTGCGAACTGCATCTGCCGCAGGACCGCGCCTGAGAAATGCAATCTCCACCTCCAACTCACCATGCCTGACAGGCTCTCAAGGACGAGACAAATCTCGATAGTGCATTTGCCATGCTGTGATTAGTGCTGAAGCATGCTGAAGCTGGAACATGTCTTCTAAGGATGTCAACCCATTTAAAATGGCTATTGTGGTTGCATGCTTGCTGAGTTGAGCACACAAATTCCCAAAATATCGCTTTCACTTCGGGAAAGAACAACAACCATCGACGAGGCTGACAGAAGAGCGAATGGTAGCTGCTGCCTGGGCTTGCACTTGAACAGCTCCCATAGCACACCTAAACCCCATGTTGAAATCTTCGAACACTGGCATTGACTTACAGTACTGTCACCGGATCTAGGGATCCTCCACTTGTGGACCATGTTCTTGCCGAACGAATCCCCGTAGCCGCATGCCAGGCGCAAAGCTGCCAAGGGGCTGGACCTGGTCCAGAGCGAAGCGTAGGCGGCTCTTGCTGCGAGGGGCACAGGAGATTGGCATTGCCAGGCTGCCCAAAGGATCATCCTGGGCGAAAGAAAAGCGCAAACAAGAATCAAAATGCAATCGAGACCCCTCAAAATCCAACTGATCCCTCAGAATGTCTCCCGTATCCCGCTCGCTTTGTGTCCAACTCATGCAACCAGTCAAATGGGCCACAGAACCTCATCTTGCTCTGAGCAGCCCACTGGAAATTCGGTGGGCCTCCTCGTTTCAAAGGGGGATTTGGACGAGCTCCCATGTGCTGCCATTTGATAACATCTGATTGCCACAAACTTTGTCAGCGGCTGAAATCAAACAAATACAGGATATGGCACAGTTGTCCAGCGAGGCTAGACAAAAAAGGCAAAACAACGCCAAACACACAGTTTGAAAAAGGGCACCACTGAACAAATGGGATTCCACCAAACACATATTCAGGGTTCTAGGTTTCTTCGGCACCCCTATTCTTTTTGGACCATTTTACGAGGGAAGCAGAAAGAAAACCACCAGGGGCTCCATTCCCGAATATTGAGACAGACCCATTCCTCTCGGGCGCCTGCAGCGAATCCTTGTCCCAGACTTCAAACCGCACGAGGCTGGACTCTGCCTCTGAGCACGGAGAGGCAAGCAGATGGTGCAAGCCTCAAATATGGGTCGCTCTTTCTTGGGTACCCTTTGTCGGATTGGTCAAACACATCAAAAGAAAAACAACCATTTTGTGGGTCGCCCTATTCAACAAAGCCATAGTGTTGACGGTTTGCTGGCCCCTCAATCGCGGGCCCCCAAGTGCAATAGGATCCTTTGGCACTGACGTTGCGCCACGGCACAGCCACGTCAAAGTTCCAGAGGTCTTCGTCCCAGCGAGGATCAAGACCTTGCGAAGTACTAAAAGCAAAAACACACAAGCAAACACACGCGCCTCACTCCTGAGAACCAGCTAGAAACATGCGCTTGCCGAAGGAGTGAATACTTGTATATACCCTGCACTCGTGCTGATACAATGCTTGTTGGATTGAAGCAACCTTGCCAAGCCCATCGCACATTGCGGCAACCTAAATCCGGCTGAACTTTAAACAAAAGGCAAGGTGAAGCAATTGACAATCTCTGATGTGAGCCATGGTCAAATATGCTGTTGCGTAGTGGACATGGACACATTTAGTGAGCCCCTCTCTTTTCATGTTAAATTTACAGTAGTGAGTCTCTATTTACCCTCCAGTACTGAACATTTCAACTGAGCCTGAACGACAGCTTTTGACACTTTGGACAAGCAGCAGTCATCTACCACAGACGTGCACTTGCTCTCTTTGTCCACCGTAACCTGCAAGTCCGGGACATCGACAGGACATCGGAGCCAAAGCCATCCGATGCAAAACAACAAGTCAGCTTGGACCCTGCACAAACTTTGTTTTCACTAGACCCCCAAAGAAACCTGAACTGACTTACGAAGCGGGGTGACCTGCAAACCGGTGGGTGACCTGCAACAAAGCGCGCCCTCCAAACAGCACGCAGTTTCTTCGTGCCTTTGCGTAGGGGTCGGAGAGGCTGAACCAGTCTGCGTTGATGAGATTGTGGGCTGCCAGCACTCGGACGAGCAGAACTCCCAGAGCGCCCCGCCTGCGGATGGTGAGACCCTCGACTCCAGTTGCGAAATGTTGCAACCAAAGTTTGCTTTTTGTGTGTTCGTCCATTTGCAAATGTATTGGAACATGCCAAACAAAAAGATGTCTAGAGGGTACCATTGTACAACTTAGCTTAACAAGTGAGAAAGAACGTTTTCCCCAGACCCGTTTTCCAATGAGACTTTCCCGTCCCTCTTTTCTTCACTTGCCCAATTTTCAATGGACCAGGAAATCGAGGACAAATGGTCGATGAACAACTGCATGAACTTCCACGTCCTTCCACTTTTCGCCCTCACCTCTTGGCAGCTGTCACCAGCTCCTCGAACTGCGGCTCCTCTTCCACGGCCTCTGTTGAGCACCGATCTAGCTCGTCCAGCGCCGGTTCCTGGGGTTTTGGGAGGTCTCCAGGCAAGTGATGTTTAGAGCGGGGCCTGTAAGAAGCTTCCTTTACACGCTTGAAGGTGACAAATTGGAGTCCTGTCTAGGGCTGATCCAACACTATTTTCACCTATCGTCCTTTTCAGAGGGCTGGAAAGGTTGTGGGAAGTACTACAGTGTGTGCTGAGGCTGAGGTGTCAGATTTAGCTCACGCCATTCTGCAAACTGGAAGCGCACATTCATATTGAACTGTGGCCAGCCTTTCTCCATTTTGATCAGGAATCATAGCGCCAGCATCTGCTGGGCATGTCCTTATAGACATTCACAAACAGCCGCCCGCTAAGCTACATGAGTTGATGTCCTTTTCACCGAAAGAGCTGCAACAAAATGAGCAGTTTTCGCCAAAAGACACGGGAACTTGTGTGACATTGAGGCTTCCTGGGTTTTGCCTTGTCTAGGCTATCAACAATGGTGTCGGCTGCTCGCATGCTTCAATCGGGCTGAAGTGCAGGTACTTTTCACCGGCCTCCTCTTCTGCCGCATGTGCCTCTGCTTCCTTCGCGTCTGGCACCAAGCTGACGCCACGAAACCTTGGCAAGCTGCATTTGATCTACGATTGAAAGGCATGAATGGGGACGGGGCCTCTGTCCTTGCAGCAATTGCCACGGGCAGTGAATCTGACCCGAATCCAGAATGTGCTACAGGACAACTCTAGGACGGATGTGGGGGCATGCACCGCATGCACCCAAGGAAGGCATGGTCGCGCCCTTCGGCGTTGCAGAGGCGTGGCAAACGCGAACTTGAGCACAATGAGCGAATGGGATGCTACAGTGATCCTGTGCCAGGGTGTGTAACACGGATTTGCTCTGAGCTTGGCAAATGTGGCGTGGCC